GGGGGGGGGGGCGACAGGCTTGTGGGAGCAAGCCCTTAACCTGTGGGATCTGATGCTGTCTCTGGGTAGATGGTGCAGAAGTTGAGCTGAATTGTAGGACACCTAGCTGGTGTCAGAGCACTGACTGCTGGTGTGGGAAACACCCCCCACCCCCCACACAAACTTTCGCACATCGAAACTGGGTGTAGACCCTCTTACAGCTGCAATCAGATGGCCCTGGCCCGCTTCACTAGTATACGATGCCCTCCCTGACCCTCACCTCCCTGACCCTAATCTGCCTGGAAGAATCTGCAATGAAGTCAGCAGGGTATGCCCGGCCCTATCCCCATTGGGCTTCAGCCAAGCTGAACTGTCCCCCTCTCTCTGTTCCAGGTCTCACTGTCCTGCTGGCTCTGTCAGGATCACATGTCAAAAATTCTGAAGGTGAGCTTACTCATTGCCAAATTCCAGGGAACGGAAATTAGGGTCTGCGACCTGCCTCAAGGAGGGGGAAGGAGCTCTTTTCAAGGGAGACCATATAAATCCCTGCTGCCTTCTTCCTATTGCCTGCAGCTCCCAAGGACTGCCCCCCCCCCTTTGCATCATCATTGCCATTTATGTAACCCTTGCTTTGCACCAGGCTCAATGCTAAGCAAATTGCACACTGATCCCATGCAATTCTGACATTCCTGCAGAGAAGGTCCTGACCACATCCTCACTTGACCAGTGGCCCTCTGGAGAAGTAGCTGGCTCAAGGTCGCACAGCTGGTGGATGGTGGACTGTGCCCTTTCTTTCCCAGAGCCTGTGTCCAAGTCATGGCAGGAGATACTTTTGCTTTTCCCCATGTCCTGGGTTGCGTCCCTCCAGAAGCACACCCTGAGAAAAGGACCTGAGAACAAGTCATTTATCTGGGAGGTTGATGAGTCTGGGGGGTGATAGTTCATAGGGTCTGGAGCCTACGACCAAGAAAGAATTCTTGAAGACATCTTTGTTGCAAAAAGGTGATTTTATTGAAGCATGGGGACAGGACCCCTGGACAGGAAGAGCTGCCCCGGGACCATGAGGAGAAACTGGTTATATACTATGGGGTTGTAGGAGGTCTAATCCAGGGGAAGTTTCTAGTGAGAGTTTCATATTTCCTAAGAAGACTCCCAGGATACTGGAGGCCTAGCTATTGTCAGGCTAAGGTTGTTTTTCCCTCTAGCAAAGTATTAGCATTAAGACAGTAAGGAGTTCCTGTAGAAACATTTTACTCTGCCTGCCTCAAGTATTTGTCAATGGGCTGCAGATTATAAGGAAATTGAGTTGTATCTGCCATTTCCTTCTGCCTTTGTTTCCCACATCACTATGGAGGGGTGATGGAGATTTAGGTCCTGCAGGACTATGGTCTCTGTTAGTTAACCCTGTGTTTTTCCCCTTCCCTTTGTTCTTGGGCAGCCAGGAGAGCCAGAGGATATCACACATATATTGCACCTGGTGGGGAGGCGAGGGTTGCGGTGGCCTATCAGCCTATCAGCTTGCCGTATGTTCCCTCATCAGAGGTGATTCTAGGAAGTGCCAGGTGGGAGTGGGAAATTACCTGGGAAGGCGAGGAGCCATAAGGGTCCATTGTCAAGCAGGTTACATGTAACAATGGGAGCTGGGATGTACTAAGGAGTGTGCACCCCAGTGTTATGCCCCTTGATGAGCAAGGAAGCTGTTATGTTCCTAAACTTGTGGTAAAATATACATAACATAAAATTCACCATCATGATCATTTTAAAGTGTGCAGCTCAGTGACATCAAACACATTTACACTGTTGTGTAACCATCCCCACCAACCACCTCCAGAACATTTTTCCTCTTCTGAAACTCTTCCCCATTGAACAATTCCCCATTTGCCTTCCCACCAGCCCCAGGATCCACCATGTGCTTTCTGTCTTTAGGAATTCGACTCCTCTAGGGACCTCCTGTATGTAGCATCAAACAGTAGTCATCCTTTGATGACTGCTTTATTTACCCACCGTAATGTCTTCAGAGCTCACTCATGTTGTTGTAGCAGGTGTTGGAATTTCCTTCTTTCTTAAAGCTGAATAACATTCCATTGTATGGATGGGCCACATGGTGTTTATTCATCTGTCAGTGGACTCGTGGGGTGTTTCCACCTTTTGGCTACTGTGAATAATGCAGCTATGAACACAAGTGTGCAAATATCTCTTCAAACCCCTTCTTTCAGTTCTTTGGGATATATACCTAAAAACAGAATTGCTGTATCATATGGTAATTCTATAAATTTTTTAATTATTATTTTTGAGAGAGAGAGAGAGAGCATGAGCAGGGGAGGGGCAGAGAGGGAGAGGAGAGAGAGAGAGAGAGAGAGAGAGAGAATCCCAAGCAGGCTCTGTGCCATCAGCATGAAGCCTGATGCGGGGCTTGAACTCCTGAACTGTGAGATCATGACCTGAGCCAAAATTGGATGCTCAACAGACTAAGCCACCCAGGCACCCCTCCCCACCTTTTTTTTAAACACCCTGACTCATGTCAGTCATTGATTGAGGGATCTGCTCCATTGCTAACCTGCCTTGTGAGCACAGAGGACTCTGGTGGCCAGAGAAAGCCCTCAGGTAGAGAAACTCAGGTGCTGACAGTGGGAAGTTCTGTTGAGCATAAGTGGTGCTGGTGGCTGAGGCTGGATGTGTGTGGGGCAGACACTGCAAGCATCTGTATTCATTTTTTTTTCCTTTTTCAACGTTTTTATTTATTTTTGGGACAGAGAGAGACAGAGCATGAACGGGGGAGGGGCAGAGAGAGAGGGAGACACAGAATCGGAAACAGGCTCCAGGCTCTGAGCCATCAGCCCAGAGCCCGACGCGGGGCTCGAACTCACGGACCGCGAGATCGTGACCTGGCTGAAGTCGGACGCCTAACCGACTGCGCCACCCAGGCGCCCCTGCAAGCATCTGTATTCAGCAGTAGGAGGGGTGGGCAGTGGAGGCTGACAGCGCTATTCTGCTGACCACAGCACCTGAGACATCGTAAGGGCTTAAGGAATATTTCTTGGATGAATGAGTACATGAATGGAATGATCCTGTGTTCTCTGCAGGTCTCTGTCCCAAGTGCCCTGAAAATGCCAGCTGCTCCAACAGTACCCACTGTGCTTGTAAAGATGGATTTCAGTCCGTGTCTGGGAGGAAGTACATTGAGCCCCATGAGAAGTGTGAAGGTAATGATGGAATCCACATCATCCTGGAATCCCTGGACGAGGCAGGGGCATGTGTTCTATGGGTGTGCCAGTGACGTAAAGAGGAAGTCGTGCTACAGGATGGAAATGTCAGGGCTGTCTCAGTGCCCCTAGAGAAGTCCCTACCCTTTGTATCCCCTTCACTCTCTCTGAGGCTGGCTTCATGTTTTTCTTTAGAGGAAGGTAGAGTTCCCAGGACCCTTGACGTTTCAAGCACTGGTTTTTGTTTGTCTGAGAATCCATAGGGGTGGGGACTGTGTCTGTTTTGTTCATTGCTGTATGCTGAGGACAGAGAATAATGTCACATAACAGAGACCCAATAAAAATGTGTAGTCCAAGAGAACAAATGAATAACTTACCATCTTGACAGTATCTTCCATGATCTGGCCCCAGCTTAGTATTTCAGTTTCCCTTTTCACTGCTCCCTTCTGCTCCAGCCTAAATAAGCCTTTCTCGTTTCCACAAATTCTAAAGGTCTATTTGAGTACACCAAAGACAAGAACCACTTCTGAATATCTGACCGGTAGAGATGGATAACGGCTTGGTGGAGTTGTGTAAATTCAGAAGGCAAAGCGAACCATGGTAGACTACTTAGGATTTACTCTATTTTATTGTGGCAAAATATATGCAATGTAAAATGTACCATTTTAACCATTTTGGGGTGTATCTTTCAGAAGCATTAAATACATGCATATTGTTGTGCAACCATCCCCACTGCCCATCCCTAGAACCTGTTCAATTTCCCAAACCGAGATTCCGTTCCCATGAAACAGACTCCCCACCCCCTCCCCCACCCCTGGCTCCCACCATGTACTCTCTGTCTCTGTGGATGGGACTCCTCTAGGGACCTCCTGTGAGTGAAATCAGACAATACTGGATTTATTTATTTAAATTAATTTTTTTAATTGTAAAATATACACAACAAAATTTATCATGGTAACTATTTTTTTTTACTTGTGAAACATTTTTTGTTTTGGTATGTTTTTTTCTTTACTTCAAATTTGTATGTAAATTCCAGTTAGTTGGCATATAGTATAATATCAGTTTCAGGTGTAGGATTTAGTGATTGATCACTTACATATAAAACCCAGGGCTCATCCCAACAAGTGCCCTCCTTAATCCCTATTACCCATTTAGCCCATCCCCCAACCCCCCTCCCTCCACCAACACTCAATTTATTCTCTGTCATTAAGAGTGTGTTTTATGGTTTGCCTCTCTTTTTTTCCCCTATGTTCATCTGTTTTGTTTCTTAAATTATACATACGACTGAAATCATACGGTATTTGTCTTTCTCTGACTTATTTCACTTAGCATAATTATATATACATATATATATCATATAGATAGATATAGATATAGATATAGATATAGATATAGATATAGATATCACATCTTCTTTATCCCTCCATCAGCTGAGGACATTTGGGCTCTTTCCCTAGCTTGGCTATTATAGATAATGCTGTTACAAATATCAGGATGCATGTGCCCCTTTGAATCAGCACTTTTGTTTCCTTTGGGTAAATAGTAGTGTAATTGCTGGTTCATAGGGTAATTCTACTTTTAACTTTTTGAGGAACCTCCACAGTGTTTTCCAGAGTGGCTGCACCAGTTTGCATCCCCACCAACAGTGTAAGAGTGTTCCCCTTTCCGCATCCTTGCCAACATCTGTTGTTTCCTGTGTTAATTTTAGCCATTCTGACAGGTGAGAGTCACTATAACTATTCTTAAGTGTACAGTTCACTGAAATTAAGTATATTCACAATGTTGTGCAACGATCCCTACCCTCCATCTCCAGGACTTTTTTCATCTTGCAGAACTGAAACTCTGTCCCCACTGAACATTAACTTCCTGTTCTCCCTCCCCAGGCTCCCATGATCATACTTTCTGTCTCCATTAATTTGACTCCACTAGGGACCTCCTATAAGTGGAATCATAAAACATTGGATGTATCTATTTTTAAAGCTTTTTAAAACAGCTCAGGGAATTCTGTATTACCCTTTGCCCAATTCCCCTGAGGTTAGCTAACACTATGACCATACTACAATGATGAAAACCAGGGAATTAATACTGGTCTAATCGTGTTAAATAAACCACAGACTTTTTTTTTTTTTTACCAGTTTCACCAATTTTTTTCCCATTGTCCTTTTTTCCTGCTTCAAGAACCATTTCAGGATCCTATTTAGGTGCCATGCTCCTGAGACAGCAATCTGTGACAGATATTTGGCCTTTTCTCCTCTTCCATGACTTTGACACGTTTGGTAGGACACCAGAGATGCCCTTTTGCACTTTGCTTTTTTTTCTTGATTAACAGTATATTCTAGAAATTACTCCAATTCATATAGAGATATTCCCCACTCTTTTACATAGCTTTGTGGGTAAACCATAGTTTATTCAATCCTCTTCTGTGTGTGAGGGCATTTTAGTTGAACACTTAGGCTCTTTCCAATATTTGTGGGAGATGTGTCTTCAGGGTAGAGTCCTGGAGGTGAGGTGGCTTCGTTAAGAGGTAAGTCCATATGTACCTTGATTAGCTACCCCAAATTTAATTCCAGGAGAGTTGTACCAATTGACATTCCCACCACCATTGCATGAAAGCACCTGTCTCCCCACCATCTTGCCGACAGAACATGTTTTCAGAATGCATTGCCAGTATGCTAGGTGAGAAACGGTATCTCAGTAGATTTTTCATGGTCATCTCTAATTATGAAACAATTTTTAAAGTCATCTCTAGGCTCAATGTAGGGCTTGAACTCACAGCCCTGAGATCAAGAGCCAGCCAGGTGCCCCTAATTATGAACAATCTTGAACATTTCATGTTAGAGGATCATTTTTGTATCTTTCGGAATTTCTGTTCACATCTTTCCCCTATATTTTCTACTGAGTGTTTCTTTTTCTCCCAATTTTTTATTTCTTTATAGGTTAGAGATCTGGGTCCCTTGTCAGTAGTATACATGGACAATATTTTCTCCGTGTTTGTCAATTGTCTTTAGACTTTGTTTATGTATTTTATTTAGCCATGCAACGAATTTAAAAAAATTATATAGGCAAATTTACTAAGGCACTTAAGTCTTCATTACAATGTTTTCCCCTACACTGAGATCAAAGAATTCACCTCTGTTTAATTCTAGTACTTGTATGGCTCCATTTTTACATTTGAATCTCTGATCCACGTAGAGTTTATTCTTAAGAATTGTGTGAGACCCAGGTCTCATTTTATCTTATTTTTTAATAAGATCCAGAACCAGGATGAAGGGGAACCCTGTTTAAAGAAGGGAAATGTACAAAGGTAAAATGTGCACTTGTTAGACTGTTTGAGACTATTTGGTTCTGCGGCAGAAGACAGAAAAAAATCCAATGGGATATGTGAAATGCATAAGATGTGTTAAAATAGGTATAAGTAGTGGGGTGCCTGGGTGGGTCAGTTGGTTGAACATCTGACTTTGGCTCAGGTCATGATCTCATGGTTCGTGGGTTCGAACCCCACGTCAGGCTCTCTGTTGTCAGTGCTGAGTGAGCTTTGGATCCTCTGTCTCCGTCTCTCTGCCCCTTCCCCGCTCATGCTCTCTCTCTCAAAAATAAATAAAAACACTTAAAAAAATAGCTGTAAGTAGTTAGTGGGTAGAACATGTGTGTGTTAAACATAGAATGGAATGGAGAGAACAACAGTATTCATGAAATAATAAATGTACTCAAAGAACGTAGGTGCTAAATGTTCATAGCACATAAATAAGAGGCATTTGATGCCCAAGATGTACAATATGAACAAAATATACACAAGCACTTAATATTTATGAGGTCTTAACTCAGTTACTCATTAGTGATAACCATTCTGGCCCATGTACCTTCTACCCAACACACACACCCCTAGACCAATAAAACCCATAATAGACTAATAGGCAAGTTGCAGCTTTTGGCTAAGTGTGCTTGTCCTGAGTCCTTCCCACAGAGGGAACAAGTGTGAGTCATTGATTGGCTCAGGGCACCTTCCATCTGTGAGTCCCTTTGCTTGAGTTGCAACTCTGGTCCGTCAGATAGATGTGGCAGATAGATGCAGGATGAGTGAATACTGCACGTGCCAGGACTTAGGTAGCAAACGGTGAGCCTTATGCTTCACTTGTACCATTTCTTAAAGGCATGTGCACCTGCCCTATCTCTTTCCCCTTGCTCCTTGCTGTGTGTTTTAAGTTGATATAGCAAACTGTGTGATCCAAGCATTGAAAGAACCACTCATCCTTCCTTCAGTGTTTTGACATACCACCATCATCAAAGCTCCATATACACTAGTGTCTGTTGCTGGACTTTTGTCCATTCCACTAGCCTACTTCTTGGTTCATGCACCAGCACTCGTTTTATTGAGGCTTTAAAGTGTATTTTAGAATCTAGTAGGGCAAATCTTCACTGCAGAGTTTTTCTGGCTATTCTTGCATGATTGTATCCACTGCCTTACTCCTTAAAGTCCGGCTAGATGTTTTTCACTAGTTAATTTATAAATTAACTTGAGAAGAACTATCACCTCTATGATACTGAGTCATCTTATCCAAGAACAGGTATTGTTTATAAACGATGCTGGGTAGTTGAGACTCCATGTACAAGGGAGGATGGTATAGTTTGAGAACAAAAAAGTGATGTTTCCTCTTGATTTGCAGATATCGATGAGTGTGAGACTGGTCTGGCAAAGTGCAAGAAGAAATCCTACTGCAGAAATGAAATTGGAAGTTACTACTGCAGCTGTGTCCCAAATTCTGTCTTCAACTTTGTGGCTGGCTTATTTAAATTAGATTATAAACAGTGTTATGGTAAGGATTTCCAAATACTCTTTCCACTGTGAAAAAGGAGGGGTGAGGGAAGACTTTGAAAGCTCCATTCATTTCAGGCCAGGGTAAGAGAACAGATATGTCCTGGCCCTCGTCCTGCATCCCCCCTGTTGTCCCTGGTAATCTTTTCTCAGAAGGCACCACCCAAGCCCCCAGCACCAATCGTCATCCCTGTGTAGCTGCCTTGTAAGAGTAAGTCTCCTGTCTGGGTCTCTTTCCTGAGCTTCCAAAATGACATCTCTGATTTTCTGCTGGACTTCCCTACTTGTTTCTCCTCTGCTTACTTTATTTTTTTTTAATTTTTTAATGTTTATTGTTTTTGAGAGCAAGAGAGACACAGAGCAAGCAGGGAAGGGGTATAGAGAGAGGGAGACACAGAATCTGAAACAGGCTCCAGGCTCAGAGGTGTCAGCACAGAGCCCAATGCGGGGCTCAAACTCATGAACCGCGAGATCATGATCTGAGTCAAAGTCAGATGCTCAACTGATTGAGCCACGCAGACGCCCCTTTCCTCTGCTTACTTTAAATTCAATTTCTATATTTATCTGTCTACATACTAAACCCTGCAAGTTCACATGGACACCTCCAATTCCCATCCATCAGGGCTTGCTCTAGCCTTCCCTCTGTCCTTTGTTGTAACTTTCTCTGACACAAGAACCTGGCTCTCACTCACCAGAATATGCTCATTCTTGTTTTGAGTTCAATACATTGGACTTCTGACTCTACCACTTAACCAGATGACTTTTGCGTAATGCCCTAACTTCTATATGCCTCACCTGTAAATGGGAATAACAATAACACCTACTGTACGAGTGATGTGTTGCTGCATAGTAAATTACCCCAGTGGTCATGGCTTAAAAGAACACCTATTTTTCTACAGTGTATGTAGGCCAGGAATCTGGACATAACTCCCTTGGGTCCTCTGTTCCAAGGTTTCTCACAGCTACGAAGTGTTTGGCAGGGATGCAGTCTCATCTGAAGGCTCATCTGGGGGCGAATCTGCTTCCAAGCTCACTCACGTGGCTGCTGGCAGGATTCAGTTTTTTAAAGGCTACTGGGTTAAAGGCCTCAGTCCCTTTCTGGTGGCTGGTGAGAAGCTGTCAGCCTCTCTGGCTTGCTTTGCTATAGCAAGCACATAAGAATAGCTGGAAAGAGAGTGCAAATGAAAGAGAAGTTAAAGTCTTTTATGACCCAGTCTCAGCAGTGACATCCTATCACTTTTGCTAAGTTCTATTCATTAGCAGGGGTCTGATCAGGGGAGGAGGGATCCAAATGGCAGAGATCACTGAGAGTCCCTTCAGACACCTGCTTATCTCATGTACTGGGTGGAACAGAATCTCTCCAAATTTATGCCTATCTGGAACCTAGAGACATGATCTTATTTGGAAAGAAAGTCTCTACATATCTAATAAAATCAAAATGAGGTTGTACCAGATGAGGGTGGGCCCTTAATCCAATATGACTGCTATCCTTATAAGAAGAGGGAAATTTGGGGGTGCCTGGGTGGCTCAGTCAGTTAAGCACCTGACTCTTCATTTTGACTCCTGTCATGATTTTGTGGTTCATGAGAGCAAGCCCTGCACTGGGCTCCATGCTAACAGCACAAAGACTGCTTGGGATTCTCTCTCTCCTCCTCCCTCTGTCCCTCTCCCACTCACACATTTTCTCTCTCTCTCAAAAACAGATAAACTTTAAAAAAAAAAAGAAAGAGGGAAATTGGATGTAGAGACACATACACTCAGACATGCAAAGACAGACACAGAGGCTGGGGTTCTGCTGCCACGAGCCAAGGAACAGAGAAGATTGCAACCACCAGAAGCTAGAAGCAAAGAAGGATCCTCCTTAGAACCTTCAGAGAGAGTGTGGCCCTGCCAATAACCCTTGATTTTGGACTTTTAGCCTCCAGAACCATGAAAAAGCACATTTCTGTTGTTTTAGGCCACCCAGTTTGTTGTACTTTATCACAGCAGCCTTAGGAAACTAACACACCTCGCCTACCCATTTTGATTATTAAGGTGTGTAAAATACTCAGTTCAGTGCTAGGTACCTAGGAAGGCTCAATAAATATTAAGTCACATGACCCTGTTCTGGAAACTTCTGTGTTTCTTTACATGAAATAGTGTGTATTAAGGCACTTTATAGACCATGTTGTGTATACAACTGCCGGTACTATTATTGCTTCTATAATATTAACCCAGTTAATACCCATTCCTTCAGGAAGGAAGACTTCTCTGCACCCCACATGTGCTCGAGCTTCTCTGTGCACTCCCAAGATATCTCATCCTATTAAGAACATGCTGGTACCTTGCGATGACTTACTCATTTTTTTTCATCATTAACCTAGTGACTTTCCCACCAGACTTCAAACTCCTTTGTCTCCTTATCAACTTCTACCCATAAGGTTCAATACTGTTCTTGGCTTTTAGTAGCTGTGCAAAAAATACTATTGACTGAATTATTGAACTGGAGGCCCCACCCTAATTCTCTTTTAAATTCTACTGTAGAAGATACTTGGGACTTCTTAGAGGGGACTTGGGCAAGGATGGGAAGCATCAGAGAAAGACCCAACTTGAGAGTGTTTGGAAGAGAGATGTGAGCTAGGCATGTTATCTCCCACATCCCACTCAATGGCTACTTTTCTTTTCAGAGGCCACTGGTGAGGAGATACAGGTCTCAAGGGGCATTCAGGTGAGTGAGGTGAAGCCTAGGTCTGGGAGACATCTGGCCAATCTTTCCATGTTATTCTCTCATTTAAATAACTACCATGGTTCCCTCTGCCATTTAGGACACACCAGCTGTCACATAGGAACGATTTTGTCCTCTCTCCCAGGGTACATCAGAAAACATCTGGGGACATTTCTGATTGTCACAACTAGGGTGCTACTGGCATTGAGTGGGTAGAGACCAGGCATGCTGCTATGCTCCATTATCTGGTCCCAAATGTTAATAGAAATTGAGAAACCATGGGAAAGGCTTTTAGTGCCTCAACTGTTGTTCAAAGATGAGCACCAGACATCTCGAGTTTCATTCCACCCCTATCATCACTTCCATCCCTGTCTTCCTCTGTAAAGCACTCTTCATGAGTTTCAGACACCTCACCCTTTAGGCCCTCATGCTCCCATAAATACAATGGAGTGAATGATTCTCCCTTCACAGGGCTGTGCATGATAAATGCGAAGACAAGCTCCAGGTTGAAAGCACAGAGCTTTGCCTTCTAGGCTCACCCAACCACACTCAAGTAAATTCCTGCTTTCTTAAGTTCTAGTGCAAGTCTACCTAATTAGCTTTATTTCTTTGCAAGGAAATTCTGATGAACAATGGAAGCAAAAATCACACTGCAAAAGTGGCGACCCAAGTACTTCAAGACATGGAACTGATCGTATGGACTGAGACTTTAGCTTTTCCAGGAAAGTATGAGAATTCTACGCTTGGTATAGGTAAGAAACAGAGCATTTTCCTTATGACCAAAAAAATTTTATGAGCGTGATCTTTTGTCAGACTTTGTGTTTATGTGTTTATGTGATGTGGAGAATTCATTCAAGGGATTTTTCCCAAATGCAGACCTGCTCCAAAGTGACTTTTCTGGGAAAACTTTTAAATGTTTAGTTTCTCTTGCTTAAAAAAAGTAAGTCTCCCCCCCCCCATTACCAGGTACTCCAGTATAAGATGATTTAAAATTTTTTGATCTTTAAACATTTTTTTTCAATATATGAAATTTATTGTCAAATTGGTTTCCATACAACACCCTGATCTTTAAATAGTATATGTAAAGTCTGAGCTTGCTCACCCTAGTTCCAGCTTCAAGAAGCATGGCCATCTCCTCTCTTCCCCTGGGTGGCTGTGGCCAGTGCGTGCTGCTTAGGTCATTTTGACCATCTCATCCCTATCAGCCAGAGATGTGGAAGGGAGTGCCATCTGGTCTACCTTGCATACAGAAAAGGAAATCACCAGTAGGGTGCCTTTCAAAGAAGGGAGTTAGTTCTTCAACAAATTTCATATGTGTGAGAAGTGAACAAAGCAGGACTCTCTTAATGTTTCCAGTTTATGAAACCAAGAGGTGCAATGACACAAGTGAGAAGACTCTTCTGGAGGCTGGAAATAACACTATGGATATCAACTGTACTGATGCTTTCAAAGGAACCATAGGAGGTACTGTGTTCAAGTTGGATTCTCCTGACCTCCAAATTCTAGACACTGTTGTCTCATTTCCAGGTGGCTGGGGCAGGAGGTGGGGACTTAAAGTTTTTGAGGCAGGGGGGATTCTACATGGTGATCACTAACCAGGCAATTTGAGGGATACACTTGGCGTGTGTACTTTATGACACACTGAGGTTCATACAGGTGTCCTTGACATGCTTCCTTAAAAGGGACAGGCTGATGTATGCTTGGTTTCCATATGATGGTCTAAAAAGACAGCACTTGCAGGTGGCAGATGATTGTTGCCTTGAACGCTCTTTCCCTTGAGAAGTACTTTATAATCACCCTATTTTAAATCGTCCCCCAGTCTTCCTCTGTACTACGAGTTGGCAAACTTTTTCTGTGAAAGGACCAGGTAGTAAATTTTTTTTTCTCAAGTTTTTGTTTAAATTCCAGTTAGTTAACATATAGTGTAATATTAATTTCAGATGTAGAATTCAGTGACTCATCACATACATGCCCAGTGCTTATCGCAAGTTCCCTTCTTAATCCCCATCACCCATTTAACCCATTCCCCTGCCCACCTTCCTCCATCAGCCCTCAGTTTGTTTTTCATAGTTAAGAGTCTGTTTTATGGTTTGCCCCTCTTTTTTCTTTTTTCCCCTGTATTCATCTATTTTGTTTCTTAAATTCCACATATGAGCAAAATCATATGGTATTTTTCTTATTCTGGCTGACTTATTTCTCTTAGCATAATACACTGTAGCTCCATTCACATCTTTCCAAATGTCAAGATTCCATTCTTCATTCTTATAACTAATATTCCATTATATATATATACATACACACCACATCTTCTTTATCCATTCATCAGTCAGTGGGTATTTGGGCTCTTTTTGTGATTTAACTATTATGTACCCCTTCAAATCAGTATTTTTGTATCCTGTGGGTAAATACCTAATAGTGCAATTGCTGGATTATAGGGTAATTCTACTTTGAACTTTTGGAGGAACTTCCATACTGTTTTCCAGAGTGGCTACACCAATTTTCATTCCCACCAGCAGTGCAAAAGAGATCCTCTTTCTCCACATCCTCACCAACATCTGTTGTTGCCTGAGTTGTTCATTTTAGCCATTCTGACAGGTGTGAGGTGGTATCTCATTGTGGTTTTGATTTGTATTTCCCTGATGGTGAGTGATGTGGAGCATCTTTTCATGTGTTTGTTGGTCATCTGTATATCTTCTTTGGAAAATTGTCTGTTCGTGTTTTCTGCCCATTTTTTAACTGAATTTTATTTTCTGGGTGTTGAGTTTGATAAGTTCTTTATAGATTTTGGATACTAACCCTTTATCTGATATGTCATTTGCAAATATCTTCTCCCACTCTGTAGGTTGTCTTTTAGTTTTGTTGATTGTTTCCTTCACTGTGCAGAGATTTTTTATTTTGTGAAATCCCAATAGTTTATTTTTGCTTTTGTTTCCCTGGCCTTGCTTAGGCAAGGTGATCTCTGTTATAACTACTCAAGCCTGACGTTGTAGTGGGAGAGCAGCGATAGACGATATGTAAATAAAAGGGCATGATAGTGTACTAATAAAACTTAATGTACAACAACCAGTAGTAGGCTGGATTTGACTCTCAGGTCATAGTTTGCCACCCCTCCTTTATTCCATCATCTTATTTAAATTTCCGCACAGAATCCACACTATGTAATATTTTCTTAGTTTGTTGCTCATCTCCTGCTATAATATCAGCTCTCTGATGGCAGGAACTCAGCCTCTTTTCTTCATTGTTGTATCATAATGCCTAAAACACTATCTGGCACACACTAGATGCTCAATAAATATTTGAATGAACGAATGAATAAATTAATGAATGAATGCATGAAAAAACATTTCAAAGAGAAAGACCTGGTTCTCTGGAGAGAGTGAAATACCAGCTGCATTTTCTTCAGAAAGCCCCCAGCTTTCCACAGTGATTAATCTTCACTCCTTACTATGAGCTGTTTGATGGAGAAGGGAGAGGGAAAAGATCTTAAAATGAGTTGATTTTTTAAATGGAGTAAATAATAATATAGGTGGTAAGTGGATTTGACTAAAACTGGGATGGTGGCTGATGAATAATTGCAGTTTAAGAAATGTTACATCATGTGGGGTACCTGGGTGGCTCAGTTAGTTAAGCGTCCAGCTCTTGATTTCAGCTCAGGTCAAGATCTCACGGTTCATGGGATCAAGCTCTGCATCAGGCTCTGTGATGGCAGCATGGAGCCTGCTTGGCATTCTCTGTCTCCTCTCTGCCCCTCCCCGACTCATGCTCACATGCACTCTTTCTCAACATAAATAAATAAACCTTAAAAAAATAAATACTACATCATGCTACAGAGCATCATATGTGCATTTACCTTCTGTGAATTAAATTCTTTTTGCATGAAAAAAGGAGGGGAAGAGGATGGGAGGGAGAGAAAGAGAGAAACAGAAAGAGGGAAGAATGAGAGAATGAATTAAATAGAATGCATCATCCTGCATATCTTCCCATACTTTTCTAAATTGGATATCCCAGAGTGAGCTTGAGATGGACAATGGGAAGGTGTGGTTTCCTCATCCTACCTGAGTGCCACCTGCCTTTCTGAGGACAAACATCTGGCCTCATGGCTCTGATTTTGATATCTAAGTGCTCATGTATATTTTTACAATACATCACTGGATATGTTGCATGTATATCTCTTGTGTGTGGTGCATTATAATATGTATTAATTATGTATGTATGTGTATTAATATGTACTACATATACAAAGTGCTATACCCGAAACCACACATAATGTATTGATGGGGCAACATAAGAGCTTTCCAAGGGCAATTTTGACTGTATGTAACGTTTGCCTTATGACTCTCACACAAGATACTAGTGTACCAATTTCCCATAATATGGATGCTTTCTAAAGCAATTTCTCTTCTGTTTTCTCAGATAGAAGTGCAGTTGCACTTATCACTTATCAATCTCTTGGGAATATTCTGAATGGATCTTTTTTTAATGATGGAAGAGGGACACAGGAAGTGAAACTGAACTCTCGTGTCACAAGTGGCACCATTGGTATGAAGGAAAAAGTATATCTCTCTGAACCTGTGTTCCTGACCTTCCAAAATATACAGGTGAGCAAACTCCAGGGCTGGATCTCTGTGCATTACCTCAAAGAGGTATGTTATTAGGGTTCTGGCAAGAAACGGAATCCAACTCTGCTTATTCAGAGTTAAGAGAACCAACAAGAAATGTTAAGGCACCCAGAGATTGCCACCAAGGGAAGTTATTATCATATTTAAGCCTAAAAAGGCAATGGAAGGGTGAGCATTATTGAGCCCAAGGAAAGCTGGAGGGTTGCCCTGCTGGAGATGGAGGCATCCTGGAACAGAAGAAGCATCTAGCAAAACACCTGACCTCCTCCTCCTTTCATCTAAGGACTTCTCACTGGTACCTCTCACTGGTTGTCCCAACGACAAGGAACGTGGGTAAAGCAGTTCATAAGGGTCAGTCCCTGGGGCTCTGAGATGACCAGAGAATGGCAGAATAAATGAAGAATAAACCCCAGAGTAAATGTGGTCATATGAAAGTCTCCCCCACAAGTGTTCTCCATGATAGGATTTTCTCATTCCAGTTTCCAAAGCAATGCATCCATAACTAACCTATAAAATTGAGATAATCAAACCAGAAAGAGCTCTACTCTCATGCTATTCTCTTTCCAGCCTGGTGGTGCAAGAGCAAAATATTTCTGTGTCTCCTGGGATGCATCAGAGGAGGGGGGCGCCTGGTCAACGCAGGGCTGCTCTCATGTGGGCAGCAATGATTCACACACCCGATGCAAATGCTTCCACCTTTCCAGCTTTGCTGTTCTCATGGCTCTTGTTCCCAAGGTACCAAGATTCATGGCCCCCTCCTGGAGTCTGTGTCCTACAAAGGGTGAGGTCGTCCTGTCCATGTCTTAGAAAGAGACTCTAAGATAAGGAATCAAGTGGCAGTGGCTCCCTTGAGAGGTAATTCCAGGAAGCACCAGTAAAGGGACTGGGGAAGTGAAATGAGAAAAGAAAAAAAAAAAATCAAGCTAATGTGGACAGCATTATCAAGCCAGTCACCACCGTGGGCATCTGGAACTTAATTCCTTCTGGAGTATTCTGGGAATCAGTGTAGGAGACACACCTGAGTCATCCTAACTGAACAGCAGGAGAGCAGGGGTATTTATACACCACCTCCTCTCAGGCATTGGTTGAAAGCTGCACCCAGGAGTTGTTAATTTTGGCATTTCCATGGGCATGAGCAGAGTAAGCTCAAGCTATCAGATAAATCCTTCAAACATTGGACAGTTGGGTTGTCAGCCCCTGTCAAACATTGGACAGTTGGGTGGAATCTAAGGTGATCTGGAATCAAACATCCATTATTCTGCAAGCAGTGGTTACAGCTGGTCAGATGGGAAGGAAAGCCACTGACTATCACTAATGAAAAAGCATAGCTCCTTCAACTTCCCAGGTCCCAACTACAGCTACGATAAGCCACGTTTAAAGAAATTTGCCTAATTTATTCCCCTATTTATTTTTAGCTCTCATTATTGAACAGTTACTGTATGACTGCATGATAAAATGAGGTCATGCATTATATTGCACATTTAAATGCATGACCTCATTTTATTCGCTCAACAAATTCGTTTATGACTGCTTACTATATACTAGATGCTGTTCTGGGCATTGAGGATACAGCAAAGAACAAAACAGATAAATCCCGGGGCGCCTGGGTGGCGCAGTCGGTTAAGCGTCCGACTTCAACCAGGTCACGATCTCACGGTCCGTGAGTTCGAGCCCCGCGTCGGGCTCTGGGCTGATGGCTCAGAGCCTGGAGCCTGTTTCCGATTCTGTGTCTCCCTCTCTCTCTGCCCCTCGCCCGTTCATGCTCTGTCTCTCTCTGTCCCAAAAATAAATAAACATTGAAAAAAAAATTAAAAAAAAAAAACAGATAAATCCCAACCTTCACAGAGAGAGAGAGGGAGACCCAGAATCTGAAGTAGGCTCCAGGCTCTGAGCTGTCAGCACAGAGCCTGACATGGGGCTTGAACCCACAAACTGTGAGATCATGACCTGAGCTGAAGTCGGCTTAACCGACTGAACCACCCAGGTGCCCCCCAAATTTTTAATTAAAAAAAATTATTTTAGAGAGTGTGTGAGCAAGGGAGAGGGGCAGAGAGAGAGAGAGAGAGAGAGAGAGAATCTTAAGCAGGCTCTGTGCTGAGCATGGGTCAGGGCTTGATCCCATGACCCTGGGGTCATGACCTGAGCCAAAATCAAGAGTCGGATATTCAACTGACTGAGCCACCCAGGTGCCCCTCCCTAAATTTTAAATTTTATTTAATTTTAATTTATTTAAATTAAGCAGTGTGAAATGTTTTTCCATTAAACACAACTTCATTGGCAGGACTTCATTTCACTTCTGTCATCAAAAATAATAGGATCTGGGGGTGTCTGAGTGCCTCAGTTAAGCGTCTGACTTCCCTTCAGGTCATGATCTCACGGTTCGTGGGTTCGAGCCCCGCGTCAGGCTTTGTGCCGACAGCTCGGAGCCTGGAGCCTGTTTTGATTCTGTGTCTCCCTCTCTCTCTGCATGAAATACACACTGGATTTTGAAGACTTAATGTGGAAAAAAAGTACCAAAGATCTCATTAATAATTTATTTACATTGATTGTAATTTAAACTGAATACACTTTTGCTATATTGATCATATTATATATAGTACATTGGACTGATAATATTTTGAACACACACTATTAAATTAATTTGAGCTGATTCTTTGCACATTAAACATTTTTTTAATGTTTATTCATTTTTTGAGGGGGGTAGAGGGGCAGAGAGAGAAAGAGACACAGAATCCAAAGCAGTCTCTAGGCTCTGATCTGTCAACACAGAACCCAATGCAGGTCTCAAACTACACAAACTGTGAGATCATGACCTGAGCTGAAGTCAACCTTCAACTGACTGAGCCACCCAGGCGCCCTCTTTTCACATTTTAAAATATATGGCTACTAAAAAATTTTAAATTCCACATGTGGCTCACATATTTCTGTTGAACAGCACAAGGCTAGTGGTTTTGGGTTTTCAATAACCTTGTGTGGTAAATGCACCCATTTTGAAGATGGGAATATCAACTCTTAGATTAAGTCAGTTGTTGGAGAGACTGAACTGGGACACCCATATAACTCTCCATCAGGCACATAAGCACAGAGCTGGAAACTATAACAGATTCTTCACTTTGGCTCATAGGTGGATCCTGTGCTGACTATGATCACCTATGTGGGGCTGAGCCTCTCTCTGCTGTGCCTCCTCCTGGCAGCCCTCACCTTCCTCCTGTGCCGACCCATCCAGAACACCAGCACTTTCCTCCACCTGCAGCTTTCCATTTGTCTCTTCCTGGCCCATCTGCTCTTCCTAACAGGGATTGACCAAACTAAGCCTGAGGTAGGTGCTATTTTGTCTGTTGTCATAATCAAATCTAGCCATTTTGTCTTGAGGAAGGATGGGCAGAGAGACAAGAGTCATCAGTGATAGTATTGGGGGAAAAAACAACTTTCCATTTCAATTCTCCTCATCTGTAACTCTGAATAAGACCGGTACTTTCTGAGAAGCCATTAAGCAAGCTGATAGAGAGTCAGACTGATGGCATTAACCAAGGTAACAGTATCTGCTGTAACAAAGAAACTCCAAAATGTTTGTGGCTTAGCATAAGAGTGGTTAATTTCCCACTTATGTATCCACAGAGGGTGAGAAAACAGGTTTGAAGGGTGTCTATCCTCCAACCTCAGGCTGATGGAGCCTTCTTTATCTACCATACACAGCTTTCAAGGTCATCCAAGAGTCCTTTCCATTTTAGCCAAATGGAAAGAGAAAAGAACAAGACAGAGTCCCGTGAGGGAAGTCTATATGGGCCATCTTGGAAAATGGTGCACATCACTTCCCTTCACATCCTATTGGCTAGAAATCAGTGGTGTTGTCACACCCAACTACAAAGGGTGTTGGGAAATGTAGTCTCTGGCTGGGAAGTCCCATCCCAGTGACATGTCTATAGTCTGGAATCAGGAGTGGAGTGAGTCTTGAATTTCGGGTGGACATTGGCTTTGCCACTGTTAGCTTTTGTCTTCATCATGATTACATTCATCATCATATTCAGGAAGAATTGGAGCTAAATGTTTTCCAAAGCTCCTTTTAACCCTAAAAGACTATGATCTCACAGCTAGAAGGTTATGGAAGCACTATTTCCCCCCTTCCCGGGGAGGCAGTATATTATTACAGTTAAGAGTAAGTATAGTCTTGGTGGAGGAGCCAAGATGGCAGAACAACATGGAAGCTTTTTGTGTGTATCGTGTCCACGAAATACAGCCAGACCAACACTAAACCATCCTGCACACCTAGAACACTGATCTGAAGATTAATACAACAATCTGCACAATATGAACCACAGAATTCAACAGGATGCAGCACGGAGAGGTGAACTGGGGGAGAGAGAAGCCACAGAGGACAGGCAGTCACTTTTGCGTGTGGAGAGAGGATGGAGATGGGGGGAGAATATGGGGAAAATGCCCCTCCCCAAAAGCAGCTGGAGAGAAAGTGGAAAGTTGGAAACAGCCTCAGGGACTGAACTAAAAAAGGAGAAAGAATAAAGGAGAGGGTTTAAATTCCATTAAGACTGTAAACAGGGGGAGCGCAGAGTCTGAAACTCTGCAGCTCGATACCCAGCGGTGCTCTGGTGGGAAGGGTGAATCCCCAGGAGCAGAGTGGGGCCCGGGAGGCTCTCAGGCCACACAGGGAGAAGTGGCTCCACTGCTGGAAGGACATTTGATAGAGGCTGTGAGGCCACCTGGGCCCAGCAGACCCTGGAGAACAGCCACATTCTCTGGTGCTAGAACAAGGTCATTAAGGGTGAAGGCTGGTGCCAGATGTGTGTTGTGATTTTCCATAATCCCTGAGGTGCTGCTGCTACACTGTCTTGTGAACTTTTTCTGGGCGGGCTGGCACCTGGCCGCAGTCTCTGGGCATCAGCAGCAGCATGGTCCCACAAGCGTTCCTGGATGTGGCCAGCACCCGACCATTGCTTAGTGAGGGGTGGAGGGGGTCAAAGCCACAGTCCCTCAGAAGTGGGGGGCCATGGAAGACAGCTGCATCTGAGACAAAACTTGGGAGGGAGGTGCTACCTGGGGCTTGGTCATGGACAATGTAAAAGTGGGGAGTGGACAGAAGCCTAGACAAAGGACGGGTGTGCGATTGCTGATTGGGGAGAACAGAGTTCTGATACTAGAGACTGGGTAGCTGGGTGACGCCATTTTCACCACTCCTGCGCATGCACACACACCTACAAGCCCCACAACAATCCACCCCAGTAAGCTAAGCAGCGCCAACTAGTGGAGAACAGAGCCACTACACTAAGCCCTGCCCAACTTCGCCAACCTCACTCTTCAAGAACACAAATCTCACCTCCTGCTTAACTGATGGACTATATAAAGTGCTTCATAGTTTGACTTCTAGGGGAAAATGAAGTAATTTCAGTCATATTTCAGTCTGTTAGTACAACTATTCAATTTTCTTTCTTCCTTTCTTTTCTCTTTTTTGTTTCTTTTTCTTGAATACAGAAAGAAAAAATTCATTTTTATTTTCAATTTTTATTAAAAATATTTTTCTTTATTTTTTTCTACTATATTTTTTACTTTTGTGTAATTTTTTCAAATTCTATTTTACTTCCATCATTTCATTTTAGTCTACTTCACTGTATTCATTTTTTTCAAATTTTCAAATGATTTCCTTTTTCCCCCTCCTTTTTTCACTAATATATCAAGCCACTTTCAACACCCAGGCCAAACACACCTAGGATCTAGCATCATTTATTCAATTTTGTGTGTGTGTGTTTGCTTTTAATTTTTTAATTTTAATATTTTCTTAATTTTTTATTTTAATTTTTTCTACCTCATTAATTCCTTTTCTCCCTTCAAAATGATGAAACAAAGGAATTGACCCCGAAAGAAAGAGCAGGAAGAAATAACAGCCAGGGACTTAACCAACACAGATACAAGCAAGATGTGTGAACCAGAATTTAGAATCATGATAATAAGAATACTAGCTGGAGTCGAAAATAGATTAGAATCCCTTTCTGCGGAGATAAAAGAAGTAAAAGCTAGTCAGGATGAAATAAAAAGTGCTATAACTGAGCTGTAATCTTGTACAGATGCTGCAGCGGCAAGGATGGATGAGGCAGAACAGAGAATCAGTGTTATAGAGGACAAACTTATAGAGAATGATAAAGCAGAAAAAAGAGGGAGACTGAGGCAAAAGAGCACGATTTAAGAATCAGAGAAATCAGTGACTCATTTAAAAGGAACAACATCAAAATCATAGGGGTCCCAGAAATGGAAGAGAGAGAAATAGGGGTAGAAGGGTTATGTGAGCAAATCATAGCAGAAAACTTTCCTAACCTGGGGAAAGACACATCAAAATCCAGGAAGCACAGAGAGCTTCCATTAGATTCAACAAAAACCGACCATCAATAAGGCATATTGTAGTCAAATTCACAAAATAGACAAGGAGAAAATCATGAAAGCAGCAAGGGAAAAAAAAATCCTTAACCTACAAGGGAAGACAGATCAGGTTTGTAGCAGACCTATCCACAGAAACTTGGCAGGCCAGAAAGGAGTGGGAAGATATGTTCAATGTGCTGACTCAGAAAAATATGTAGCCAAGAATTCTTTATCCAGCAAGGCTATCACTCAAAATAGAAGGAGAGAGAAAAAGTTTCCCAGATGGACAAAAATTAAAGGAGTTTGTGAGCACTAAACCAGCCCTGCAAGAAATTTGAAGGGGGACTCTCTGAGGGGAGAAAAGATGAAAATACATACATACAAACATACATACATACCAAAAGCAACAAAGATTAGAAAGGACCAGAGAACACCACCAGAAACTCCCAACTCTACAAGCATCATAATGACAATAAACTCATACCTTTCAGTACTCACTCTAAACGTCAATGGACTAAATGCTTCAATCAAAAGACTTAGAGTAACAGAATGGATAAGAAAACAAGATCCATCTATATGCTGTCTACAAGAGACCCACTTTAGACATAAAGACACCTTCAGATTGAAAGTAAGGGGATGGAGAACCATCTATCATGCTAATGGTCAACAAAAGAAAGCCCGAGTAGCCATACTTTAAGCCATATCAGACAATACTTAAGCCATACTTTAAGCCATACTTAAAGCCATATCAGACAATCTAGGCTTTAAAATAAAGACTGTATCAAGAGATGAAGAAGGTCCTTATGTCACAATTAAGGGGTCTATCCACCAAGAAGACATAACAATTGTAAATATTTATGCACCAAATGTGGAACACCCAAATATATAAATCAATCACAAACATAAAGTAACTCATCGATAATAATACCATAATAGTAGGAGACTTCAACACCTCACTCACAGCAATGGACACATCATCTAATCAAAAACAAGGATGGGGAGCCTGGGTGGCTCAGTTGGTTAAGCGTCCAACTTCAGCTCAGGTCACGATCTCGTGG